TTCCCCCCGCCCCACCCCGTGCGTCCCAACCGCTTGGAGGCAGCGCCAGGTTCGTAAAAGACTCTTTCCCCTCCCTCCCGCTGGGCCTTGAGAAAAACCCATGTGGGGGCCGTGGCGGCTTGTCAGTTTCCACCCACCCAGCCAGCCAGAAATATTCCACTTGTACTCGATTTAATCAGCATTGCCTATCTCAGCCCACTCGCCTGCCACAGCCCCTGTTCGCAGAGAGCCATCTCAGTCGGTTCGTGAGTCTTCTGGTGGCTTTTCTCCAACGCAGCTCCCAAACTTAGCTACAGTACATTTAGAGCTTTTCTCTCTCAGGTCCGCTCAGCACGCACACGTGTTCGCAGAAGGGGGCTTCGGGGGCATTCGCGGCCACAGATTTTGTCCCTTTGCATTTTCTATCTCAACTGCCTTAGGAATTTTGCACGTAGCATATCGGTGTGGTTGCCCTTTCACGATGCAGATGTTGGCCTGAGAATGCCGTTCAGGGCTTACCATCCTATACCGACTAGAGTATCAGTGGGGTGGGTCAAAAAAGCCAAGATGGCAGACACCACTGGGCAATTGAAGCCCCCACCCTTTTTTATAGGTGTTGCGCCACGGTGCGCATAAAAAAGGAGTGGGGCTTTACCAGTTTAGCAGCTTCAGAGAGTTCCTCCAGAATCTCTAACAACCATGAAACTTCAGAAGAGAAGGGAGGAGAATGGAAATGGCCTGAAGGATTTGGAATTCCCAATTTAGAGACATTTAGGAGGCCGGGGGTCAGCCATAAATGGATTTCTTTTTCCTGTGGATCAGGGATTCTCCCTTTTTTACAGCCCTGATTCTCTGCTGTGAAATACAGTCAGCTCTGCAGAAACTAATCCGGGCAATGCATGTCCTGGATGGAGAGAAGGGGCAGAGGACGTTTCATTTTGCTAATCGTTTGTACCATTTGTTGCTCTCGTTGTAGCAGTCTAGGTGGCCGGTTTATCTGAGTTTTAACTCTTGAATGGTTTTACTGGGTTTTTTTGGTGGATTTTGTAAGGCACCCAGAGCCTTCTGGAGTGGGTGGCCATATCAAATCCATTAAATTAAATTGAAATCAAATCAAATCAAATCAGTGTCCTGGGTGCCCAACTGCCATTATAAAGATTTGAGAGCCAAGGCAGGAGAAGAGCTGGCAAGCTGAAGAAGAAAAGAAGGATATTGATTGATTGATTGATTGATTGATTGATTATATCTCTATGGCCGCGCACCTCCTCCAACAGTGTGACTCTGCGCAGTGTACCAAAATCATTAATCGGAAATAGAAAAGTAATACATACTGTGAAAACAAACTGAAACGATTAAAGGGTGATCAGACACATCAGATCTTACCAGTTGGGAACGCTGCTCACCCTGGCCCTGACCCTTCTTTCTGAAGGCCTGCAGAGTGGGGGCAAATTGTGTATTGGGGGAGAGATTGTTCCAAGGTGTGCGGATTTTTTCCTTTCTTCCCCGGCTATCTCTGAAGAGCAGCAAGAAAAGCTAAGGAACTTATCTCCTGACTTGGAGTCAAACGGATGAGGAAAGCATCGTTAACTGCTTAATTTCTGCAGGTGGAGGTGGGGGTCACCTTTCTGTTGTAGAAATTAAAGCAGGTGCCTGTCTGCATGGGCATGACATCTCCCATTGCCCCTAAAGCCCCTTACTGTCTACCCTGGGACTGTCTTACTCAGAACTTGCTAGAGCTCTGTGGTTTCATGAAGGCTCCAGGTCTGGGCCGCGTGATCTGAGTCTCAGCAAAGTAGGATGGAGAAGCAGCAGCTCTGAGGAAATGGGGGTGGGTTTCTCTTGCTGCAGAGAACGGGGGGGGGGGGGGG